TTTTTTTTAAACCATCTTCAACTATTTGGTACCTATATTCTCTTAGGTGACTTACTTCTTCAGTAGGTACATTCGGCTATGTGTGTTTATCAGATCAGAAATTTTAGGAGTTTTTCTTCTATTTGTCATCCCTTGGTCTTTATGTTTTCAATAATGAGTTTAGCTTATGAAGGTTTTGTGGAAATGAGTGTGCTGAAGATATGCAATCAAGTGGATCTTGTGTTAAACTTTGTTTGTCTTCACTAAATGTTCAAATAGCTGACTTTTTTCCCTCTGTGTTTGTGTGTAAGTCAAAAAGTACTGCGATTGTGCATTATACATGTTCTATTTGGGATTTTTCAGGAACCGACCTCCTGCGGGTTGTATGGGAGTGTAATGAATGATGACTGTTTGGTGTAATCCACTTCATTTGTTGTTTTGTTGTTATTAATTGGTTACTTGCAGTAAATGTGTTTGTGGCCATATATGAACTTATTGATTTGCGTACTTAATGAGTTTGTATTTTTTTTTACTGGAAGTGTCATATCTTGTGCATTGTTTTTTAATCATGTTTTCAACTTTTGGCCAGCCTTCTAATCATTTTTGCTTGCATGGGACTTTTATCTGTTACTTAACTGTTTCTCTTAATAGCATGGGACTTTGACGTTTCTTTTCAAATATAAGGATATGTATGTTGTTTAATTAATTAGCTTCTCGCTTCATCAATGTTTTTATTTGCAGCGATTTCCTTTTTTTTTATTACGTTCCTTTATTGTGGTTATGTTTTTGAGCCAGGTTTAATTCTTCATAAATATGTAGGTAACAGTATTATTTTGGGGGTCTGCTGTTTAAAGTTCTTGGAATACTATTGGCCAACAGGGAAAACGAGCTGTTCGTTAGTTGCTATCAGGTTAGCTTCCTTTCGATCACATCGACTGCTAGCTAATTTCCTTCAATGAACCATTTATTCATCAGTGTCTTCTCAATATTTTATTACTTGGAGCTTGTTGTTGTCGTAGGTACCATGAAAACTCACTTTTGTCTATTCCAAGTATCCTTTTCAGAATTTCAACCATTTATTGACCTTTAAATGCTTCAGAATTCTGATAAATGATCGGTTAAATATTTGTTGTTCAACAACTACAAACATCTTTTGTGTAAGTATATTATGGCTTTATGATTTGCTCATATCATGTTTAAGCCCATGTAGAATTAGCCTTCTTTGCCGTTTCATAAGACTCAAATACCTATCTGCCTTGGGACGGCACAGCTGTAGCCTTCTAGTAATTTAAAAATAAAAAATCTGTACCAAAGTAGAATGCAGACCTTGTTGAATGATTTATTCGAAGTGAAAAAAAAAGAACTCTTTTGATGATCAAAGCATTTTTTGAAAGGAAAAAAATCTGGCATTGTGAAATTGTTGGAATTAATATTAATGATAATGTTTGGGCGGACAATATTCAATTGTATGATTACTAGTTTTATATGTCAGAATGTATCCCAAAAAGGAGTTACCTGAGATTCTTCAAATTTCAGAAAAATGGGTTTATGGACACTGCTTGAGGGCTGTCTGCTACTTGCCAATGCACTGGCCATACTAAATGAAGATCGATTTCTTGCTCCAAGAGGATGGAGTTTTCAGGAATATTCTGGTGTCACTCGGAACTCGTTCAAGGGGCAGATTCTTGGCCTAATATATGCGACCCAGTACTTAAGGGTCCCTCTCATTCTTCTCAATTTGCTTTGCATCGTTGTAAAACTGGTATCCGGCTGATTGGTGCCTGTTTATTTGAGGGCTTGTCTTTCTCTGGTAAGTAGATTTTGTTTTCAGCATTCATGTGCATCAAGCTAATTTTCAGAGTATAATGTATATGGAAGAACTACCCTCATCCATTTTTCTGGATTTTCTACCGGGTGTGTAGGATGGCCATATATTTAGATTGATAATTTGGTTTAACACTGAAGTGTGACTTCATCTTGCACATTTTACTCTATATTGAAAACTAAATTCTATATCTTTGTCTGAATAATTGTGCCCATGGTGTTTTTATAATTTGTGATCGACCACCCAATCCAAATTTAGATTTCTTGTTATGCTGTGTTAGGTTCCTAAAGTTTGTTTTGGTAGTACTTCTGTGTTAGTGCTGCCCTTAATGCTAATTTTATCGTTTAGATTGCCTTCTAATCAATGCTTTTTAATCAAAGAGTTCTCCATTTTGTATTCAGAAAGTGACATAAACACAATTAATACCCAATAATGAACCCAAAACTAGCTAAGGGTGCTGAAGTATTTCTAGAAAAGGCTAGAAAATGTATCAACTAGAGTATACATTTGTGAAAATAATGGAAAATCGATTATATAATTCATCCTTGGTATAAATCATAAAATAATATATCACTTTGTGGCATCCACCAGTTTCATGTGAATTTATGGTTTGTGTTTCATTTCGCTCGTATAGTTAGAAATTTGTTGTGTTTTTTGACTTTTTGTTGCATTGATTTATGATATATTATTTGCCTAGAGTTTGAATGGATATGTACTCACTTTTGGGAAAATAAATGATAAAACTGTTGTTTGATGTTTGATTTACGTTCATCTGTACGCTTGTTGAAAATGAAGTCCAAAAATGGTTAGTCGGTCATTTGGAAATTAATATACAGCGGCAATAATTACCATATCTTACTTGCAAATAGAGAAACACTTCTTTAGTGTTTGTACAAGTGAATGAAGTTTTGTCTTTGGTGAACTTTCAGTGAACCTGTTTCTTTCTGCAATTGTCAGCTTATGTGCTATTGAACTGCTTGAGTATCTCACTCCGCATTTTATTTTATCTTTGCATGTTTTGCCGACATGTTTTTGGGCATTGCTATTAATCGACATCTTATGACCATTATGTCAGATTCATTGAAGGGTATAGCTGATACAGTATTGAAGAAGGATATTCATCTGTAGAACTGTTGAAAATAATATTGCCTTGAGAATTTAAATAGATATCTCTCATGTTCCTCCCCTTTCTTGGAGTTGTTGTCATTTGATAGATAGAATTAGTGTGGTGATATGTTGAAACCAAGTGCAGATCATGTATTTTGTCGACCATTCTCTATTTTTCCATTGGTTGATTGAAAAATGCATTTGAAATTTGAATATTATTTATTTATTTATTCTCCATGGGGAGGGTTGCAAACGAGTCGACCCGAGTTTAGCATCGATGATTGGTTTTTTTTTTTTTTTTAGCTGCTCGAGCTCGATTTATGAGGCTCGAGCTCGGCTCGATAAAAAAAGTACAATTGCTCGAGATCGACCTCGGCTCGAAAATTTTTAAGTGGAAAGATAAAATTACTATTAAGCCACCTATACTATACTATTGAAATTTTATATATGAGAGCCCAAGGCAAATTCACACCTTCAACCCAAAGTCATTGGGGGTGCAAATTCAAACTCATCTATTAACACCATCAATTAGAGCCAAAACCAGTCCACTGAAACCATAATAACCCTCAAAACAACCAACTCCAAATTACAAAAGCTCAACCAGTTTGATTTAGAATCAAAATAGCTCAGCAGCTCAACTTGAGCAGTTAGCTTGGATAGGTCGGTCTAGGAGAGCTCCAGTCTGTCCAGAAGTAAGTAATCCAGTCAAAGAGCTTGTATCTGAGCTCATAGTATTAGCCGACCTAAAGCAGACGACCTGGTGGCAACGACGTAAAGGAGCCTGATAATAAAATCGACCTCAAGGTATTGAGGTTGTAAGACCTAATGTTAGGTTCGAATCAAGAGGAGGTCAGGCTCGACCTCGGCTACATTGCAACAAGCGGGTCAAGAGGTATTGGTTATGGACTGAGGACCTAAGGACTACGTGGTAAGAGGGAAAGCATCTTTTAAAATATAACTTGCTCAAGAGACTTGCCTAGATAGAGATGTGGTAAGTTAGGAAATGTGATCTAGTTGGATTTCATTCATAACAAGAACTCTCTTGGGCATCAAAAAGAGAATCAATATAATACATATATCATCGTTGAGCAAGTTTTGACTTGAGCGTCGAAAGTTTTCTGTCAGGGACCCCTGGTCACCGAAGCTCAAAGGAGAAGGAAGTCCACAGTGTAGGCAGTTCAACTCCGTTCTAGATCAAACTAAAAAGACAAATTGGCGCCATGTGTGGGAAATGTCAGTATGTTATCGGCTATAAGAGGTTGATCGTATTCTCACAATAAAAAAAATTAGGGAAAATATTTCGAGAATAGAAAAAGCATCAAATGGTAAGGAGATTCAAGTGGTAATAGAGGATTCCCCGGAGCAAGACACTTGTGGCATATCATAGGGAGAGGTCGTGGGGATCCAAGAAAAGCAGCCCGAAACCACTTTAAGCTTTGGGCCTGAAGACCTTCGAGGTGTTTCAGCACCACACAGTGATGCCCCGGTCATCAGTCGAGAATCATTGGTCAAACGAATGAGGTCGTACGGTCTTATTCCATTAGGTGATCAATCAGAATACTATTTATTTGGTTTTTGTTTGTTGCATTGGTTGGGCTTTTCAAAGAGCCACGCATGAGAAAAGTAAAAGGAGTTGGAAGGAGGTCGAACGAAAAAGAACTTCCGACTTCCAGTTAGGGACCTTAGTAGCAAGGTCCGTGAGGATAAAACGTTGTTTCTGTGGGAGAGGTAGAAGAACTTGCCTAAAGGCTTGAGTTAATAACAATATAAGAAAAAGTTGATATTGAGGATTTGCAAAAAGTGTCAGCTTAAGATGCTACAACCATGAACCGACCTTCGTATACATCAAACCATTGCATGCTACAGGGACTTCATGGACTTGGTTCAACAACAACATAGAGTTAAGGCCCATCGTGCCTTCCCTATCGCTCTTAGAAGTTCCCTGCTCCACTATGACATTTGCTTTGACCTTCAGGCATTTGGGACAATCACTCATATGATGGTCGTCGTCGCACAAGAAACATCCATGACGGGATCGGTCCACAACCATCGTCTGGGTTTTGTATTCTTGGGCCTTGCATTCCTTCCTGTCACCCGATTTCTTGTATTTGCCATCATCTTGTGATGGTGATTGTTCTTCCACATCTTTTTCTTCTCCGTAATAATTATTATGGCATTTGCAGCTGACAGTGAAGTATATCGTGATTATCTTATGTCGAAAGATGATGATAATGTGTACCAAAAAAAAAAAAAAAGATGATGATAATGGTCTAAATAAGGAATCTGTTTCAGACCATAATATAACATGAGAAATTGTTGTACACAAAACTGCTCTATGTGGGTTCATTTGCTATTGTTTGGAAGCATTTTAAGGTAAATGCGTTCTTTTTTTTATTATTATTAATTTGTGATCTGTTTGTTTGGAATTTTTTTTTTCTTCTTACGAACGAGTGGTGTTTGTTTCCGCAATGCGATCATGTAGAAATGCGTGGCACTGATGAAGGCGTTTGAGATGAACCCGGTCGTGGATTTCCTGTCTATCTACAGTTTTGCAGTTCCTTTTTTGTTGGCTTATACTATTTGGAAGACAAGGAGAAATCTGAAGGGTGGGCGGGTTCACAAGAGAAGTAGGGACTTGTTGAGTCAAACAATTAAATTTGTAGTAGAAGTTTGCCACTAATTGTGTAGTTTTAGCTCAATGGTGTATGAAATGTGGCATGACTAAGTAGAGATCAATATCACTAAATTTTTTCTATCATTTTATGTTTGCGCACACTCGTCTTTCTTTTAGGTAGGAATTTTGCGTCTATGTAGAATCAATTCATTATATATGCTGAGAGGCTTGTAACTTGAATCTCCATCTGCACTATCTTGTTTGATTTGTTATGCAAGGAGTGAACCAGCCGAGCAGAGCCGAGTTCGAGCGTTAACAAGCTTGAAATCGAGCTCAAGTTCGGCTCGTTTAACACTAATAATGAGTCTCAGTTCGAGCTTAAACAAGCCGATCTCGAGCTTTAAAGGGCTCAACTATAAAAATTATATAAAATTCTCTTTTCGAGCCGACCAAATGAGCTTTAAATGAGTTCGAACAACTCGCTAATCAATTAATATTTAACATATCTCTCTCTATATATACGTATGTATAATTGCTAACAAAAAATTTAATAAAATTATTTAGATTTTCCATCTTTTTTCCTTACAATCCAATAAATTTTTTTTAACAGTAATTGAAACTTAATAGTTACTTCTTTTAATATAATAGTTAATTAAAGTGTAATCTTGCTTTTAATTATTCTATTATACAATAGTTATTGCTGAAATCAACCAACTATAATTCACACTAAATAATATATGAAAGTTGAATAAGTATAAAAAATTATAGCAATTTTTTTCCCTTAAACTATTTATTACTCTTAAATATTTTCTAATAAGCTAATTTGTATTTAGTGGTAAACCAAACCTATTAAACTTTTAATAATAATAATAATAATAATAATAATAATAATAATAATAATAATAATAATAATACTTTTTAAGATAATTAACGGGTCATGATCTTTCCATTTTATATGAAAAATACCTTATCCATTTCATTTTTTGTAATCAATACAGTGATGAAGTCAAGTAATTTTATAATGTTTATTATTTTTATTACTGACGAAAAATTTAAATGTGATACTCTTATCTAACTTATAATTTTAATATTATGTACATGCATAACTTATACTAATAGTTTAAACATACGTGCATGCGCACAAGATCGAAAACTAGTTTCAAAGGCATTCATTGCCTTAAACCATATTCTAATTTATCCAGCATCCCACAAAGTTTAATGTAGTCCAAACATGAGATTCAGTTTGCCGAAAATTTATCCATTCCGTAAATACAGTTAACTAAATTTAGAGGCAGTGTTTAATAGCCACAGATTTAATAGCTTCCTCTTTGTATAAATAAATGCAAATTTTTTCCATCACCAAAAAACCATAATTCTTGAATTTATTTGGCTCACAGTTTTTTCTACAAATCTTGAAATTGTCCCACATTTTTTTTTAAAGAGAAACGAAGGACGTTTTGCAGGAATCTATCTTTTGTGTATTTCTTGCAGATACATTACAACATATGTATGCTTAAAGTTTCCCAAAGGACTCCTCCCGTTTCTCTTTTTTCTCTCTTTCTATAAATACGACTCGACTCGACTCCGACAGAAAGCGATAAAGAAAAAAAAAAAAAAATAGCACGTCCCGTATAAGATCATGGTTGAAGGAGGAATTACACGTGCGGATAAGACCGAGTTCACCGAATGCTGGAGGACATCATGGCAGACACCTTATATCATGAGGCTCGCTTTGTCGGCAGGCATCGGTGGCCTGCTTTTCGGATACGACACAGGTAACTAACCTGCAATTCTACATATAGTAACACCTCACATTGCATTTAACCGTGTATGATGCTATTTTTACGGCATATGATTTTTTACCTTCAGCATCATTTTTTTTCTTTATGTATGTGTACATGTATATGGTGATGCTATTTTTTTTTTTTTTTTAAAAAAAAACTAATTCACTGCTTAAATATAGCATCATAAACGGCCTCGCCTCACAGGTCTTTACACTAAAATAGGAACCACTTCTATCTTTAACAATCTACATGCTATTCATTATTTGGGTGCAGGTGTTATTTCTGGTGCTCTTTTGTACATAAAAGAGGATTTCGAGTCTGTTGATAAAAAAACATGGCTACAGGTAAAAGTAAAAACCATTTAAGAAAAAATTAAACTAAAAAAAAAAGAATAAATATATTTCTAACCTGGGGCATCGTATTTTAAGGAAACAATCGTGAGCATGGCTGTTGCGGGTGCCATAGTGGGTGCAGCTGTGGGTGGATGGATCAATGACAAGTTCGGGAGAAGAATATCGATCTTGATTGCCGATGTTCTCTTCTTTGTTGGTGCTATTATCATGGCTGCTGCACCAGCACCATGGATGATCATCCTTGGTAGAATTTTCGTCGGCTTGGGAGTTGGAATGGCCTCCATGACTTCTCCTCTCTATATATCCGAAGCTTCTCCACACAGGATTAGGGGTGCACTTGTGAGCACCAATGGTCTCCTCATCACAGGAGGCCAGTTCCTTTCCTACCTCATCAACCTCGCATTCACTCACGTAAGCTTTTAATTTCAATTCACTCATTGTTGAGGTATAAAATTCGAAGAAAAAAAAGTAAACTACCGGTTACATTTTTTAATGTGTCGTGGTGTAGGTCAATGGCACATGGCGTTGGATGCTTGGAATTGCTGGTCTTCCGGCCCTTGTTCAGTTCATCTTGATGTTGTCGCTCCCTGAGTCTCCAAGATGGCTCTACCGAAACGTAAGATACATTGTTATTGTGCAAAAATTGCATTTTTAGTCCTGTTGATTTAACTCCATAGCAATTTTAGTGGAACTTTTCGCCATCTGGTCCTATAATTTAAACTTTGTTGCAATTTTAGTCTTTGACGACTGAAATTGCAACAAAAATTTTAAATTACAGGACTAAAGTTGCAATAAAATTTTAGATTAAGACTTAAATTGCTAATAAAAATTCGAACCAAAGATATAAAATCAGGAATTTGTTGCATTCCTCAAAGGATTGAAATTATAACAAAATATTAAAATTACAGGACCAAAAAGCGAAATGTTAGAATCTCACGACTAAAAATTGCTATGGCGTTAAACAAGTAGGACTAAAAATAAAATTTCGCCTTGTCATTGTAATGCACTATGGCTCCACCAGATACATATATCAGTAAATGAAAGAGGTTCCACTAAATATATTTCTCAGTTAATAAATAAAGAATATTTTCGTACCATGATCAGGGCAAAGAGGACGAGGCAAGGTCTATCCTCGAGAAAATCTACCCAGCCGAGGAGGTCGAGGTCGAGGTCCAGTCCCTGCATGAATCGGTGGAGCAAGAGAAGCGTGAAGGGGCAAATGAGACGGGTTTCTTCGGTCAGTTCGGGAGTGCGTGGAAGAATGACGTTGTGCGACGTGCCCTTTACGCGGGCATCACAGTCCAGGTGGCCCAACAGTTTGTGGGCATCAACACCGTTATGTACTACAGCCCAACCATCATGCAGTTTGCCGGTTTTGCATCCAACAAAACGGCAATGGCTCTCTCTCTTGTCACCTCCGGCCTTAACGCCCTCGGCACAGTTGTCAGCATGTGCTTTGTCGACCGGTATGGAAGGAGGCGGCTCATGATCATCTCCATGATTGGGATAATCTCCTGCTTAGTCGTGCTCTCTGCTGTATTCTACCGCTCGTCTGTGACGGCCCCAGGGATCAGCCCTGCTGAAACCGTGTCTTTTGGCGGGAACTCGACTTGCCAGGCGTACACGAATGCCCCTGATGCCTCGTCCTGGGGCTGCATGAGGTGCCTGCAGGAAACCAACTGCGGTTACTGCTCGGCCTCGGGCAACATTGTAAGTCCAAATTCTGTTCACAGTCCCTCTATTTCATTCTATCTTCATCAAACCTTTTTTTTACTGGTAATCAATTTATTTGTCCTCTTTCCAATAGCAATGAATTTAACAACATTTGATTGGACGGTAGAGTGATTTTTACTGAAGTTCGACCAATAACTAAACATTCGACGCACTTTATCAAATTTAGAAGCATAAAAACACCAACAATTAACTTTCTCGATCCATGTGAAAAGCCTAAGACGCGGATGTAACTAAACAGAAGTAGCGTTTCCTTTTTCTTATTTTTCATATTTTGAAAGTTATAACAATGAAAATGATTTACCCTTTTTTTTGCAGTACCAACCGGGGGCATGCCTGGCACTGGATAATGCAGTGAGAGGGACATGTCGGGCGGAAAAAAGAACATGGTACACGGAAGGCTGCCCGAGCAGGATCGGGTTTCTGGCAGTGGTCTTCCTCGGACTGTACATCATCATGTACGCTCCTGGCATGGGTACTGCCCCATGGATAGTCAACTCTGAGATATATCCACTCAAGTACAGAGGACTCGGTGGAGGGATTGCAGCAGTGTCTAACTGGAGTTCGAATCTGATAGTCAGCGAGACATTCTTGACACTCACTGAGCACTTGGGCTCTTCCGGAACATTCCTCTTGTTCGCAGGCTTCTCATTCGTCGGGCTCGTCGCTATCTTCTTCCTTGTGCCAGAAACCAAAGGGCTGCAGTTTTCGGAGGTGGAGAAGATGTTGGAGAAAGGTTACTCTCCTTTCAAGAAGAGTGAGAAAGAATCCAAAGATGGTGACAACCACTAAAAAACATCTCTACTCAGGAATTCATAATGAACTGTACATGTGAAATTTTTTGTGATCTAGTTGGCAATTATTACCAAGTCTTTAGAGGACAATATTTCTAACTTTGTAATTACCCATCTTTTAAATAAAGCTATTTTGGAGTTTGTATAGTAGCTGCCAATTTCAAATCATATACATATATGGGCTTATAGCCTAACAAAATAAATAAGAGAAAGGTCGAAAATCAGATTATGAAACGTGTTTTTTCTGTAGTTGGTTGTTGAAAATCTTCATCAGAGAACAATGTCCTTGTGCCCAAGAGATGGTGCATTCTATGCAAAATAGAGAGTAAACTTAATCTCCTAGTATGAAGAGGGTGTGAATGTGTTGTGTTATTCACTAAAATCTCTTGATCTGGCCTTTAGTATTTTTACTATCTATTCACTGTTCTAGACCATAATATTATTGCTTACACTATTTACATGGTTAGCTATTCAGCCAGTCTTCCTGTCATAATCTGAAATATTTCGTACACGACTAGGCAAAAACTATTATTGTAAAACTTCAGTGCTATTTACATTTAGGTACAGAAACTACAAAACAGAAAACTTTCTATTCTTTCCACTTAAGTTTTGCAGTTGCATGCAAAAAACTGTTTTCAGCAAGATATTTCGACTATTACGAACAGAACCTTCTTTCAAGAGAAATGCTCAGCTACTCCAAAACATGTAGAGAAAACTAGAAAACTGGAACATGTGGATACATTCATATATACATCAGTAGGTAATGTAAGTCCAATCATTAAGTTAAGCCTACGACTTACCCGTCTAGGCGTTTTCTTATACATTTAGACTCTTATGCAAGTAAAAATTCACCTTAACCTTTGCTTGTTTGTCCAACTGTACACTGGTATGCTGTTGATGTTTAGTGTTGTTACCTTAATACACAAACAAAGCTGAAGCCTGTTACGTGCCATTTTTTCCTGAGCCCCCACCAGATCTGTTTAAATTTGATGAAAACCAATGCCAAAAGCTGCCTGAGCAGATATCTAGCAACACAATACAAGTTAACATGGATGCAAACAAATGTAAGCAACAGCCACGAGTGAAGTTAGAGAAAAAGAACCAAACTGGAATGAAAAGAAAAAAAGACCTTTTCGAATAAGCACAGCTACTAATATACAGCTATTAATGTGGTCACCTATTATAAGAAAACTTAATACCAGAAAAGGGTTAGAATCCAGACCTCAAGTGGTACAAGCGATAATTGAGATACCACACAATACGTCATTGTCGACACTGAAGTTGCTCATTAGTGTAATTAAGTTCACAACTCGAAACATTAACTCACATCATCTTTGCGTGCGTGATCCACATTTGACATCAACACAAAATAACGAATTCTCCACTACCAAGAGCTATAACTCAACAGGATGATGTTTATACCAAAAGTATAATTTCGTTCAATGCCACAGGCTACTTGTTCCTTCATTAAAAACAAATGAGAAAATAAAATAAACACATATATGAATGCAGATATCAGTTGTGCAATATTTGCCGTTGGATGTACTAAAAGGATTCTGAAGGTCAAGAACTTTGTCCACGATTAAATTAGATCAAAACCAAAATAAAGAAAGGAATATATTTGCGCAGAAACAACAACCAAGTTTTAATCTTCCCTTCCAAAAATTCTTGCCCATGTCCTTTTTTTTTCCTAAAAGATAGATAATATTATAGCACGAAACATACATGAGTACAACCCGAGAGCCAACTGACGACTCTAAAAGAGAGAGACACCACAACCTAGTGCTCACACTAAACACTCCCAAAGGGAGAAAAGACGAACAAAAGCTCCCAACGGGAGAATAGACAAACAAAAGCTCCCAACAGGAAAACACAGAACACACTCCCAACGGGAGAGAAAGAAGAAAAAACACAGTCAACACACAAACAAAACACCTAGAACAAAACAGGAAAAAAA